GGAGCCTATCGACAAAGACAAGGGAGACGTGAATGACCAGTTCAAAATATACTACCAGTCACTATGCGACTGCACACGGAGCTCAAGATCGAGCCCCGAGGCACAGCGAACGGGACAAATGGGTTTGCAAGGCATTCAGTGAGTTTCCATCTACTTGACTGCTCATTCGAAACATCGGAAGAATAATTTTATCGGTTCAATGATCGAGTCTCCTCAATCTCTTCACTGTTTTGAGTTTGGTTTCCATTGATGAAAGCCGAGACTAAATTGGAGAAGGGAGGACGCAGTCTGACGTTAACATTGAAGAGTGAGAGTAGTTATCTTATCCGTTTCAAGAACCCATACAGTCTACCATTGTTGCACTGGAACTCACTGCCGTTTCGTGATGAAGAGGGTGCTCTTCTTCGGTCGGTGTTTGCAGTGTCCGTCAATATTTCGTTCTGTCGGCTTCACTTTGCCAATAAGATAGATCCAACGCCAAGTTTATTAGTTTAGATAACCAAGGGAGTCTCAAGAATATAACTACGCGTTAAAAGTCTTGGCGACATAGTTCGGCTCCGAGCAGAGTTAGGATGCAACGAATTCTCCTTGATGTGGCCCATGCAACTGTCAATAGCGAGAGACTTCATGCTTCACCAAGCGAAAGCTTGAACGCATGAATCGGGAAGCATGCCGTGTGCGTGTTCCTAGTCCACGCAGTCTGGCCAGTGGGGTGTGTGTTTGTGCGGACTGGCAGACTGGTGGGCTGAGAGCCAGGCTGGAACTCTCACGCATGTGTCATGTACGCCACCAACCCCCGTTGTGTGAAATCCTGGTGCTTGTGTTTGGGGGACCAGGTCGTGCACGTGGCGCGCGCAGACGAGGTCGCTGTTTATGTCAGCCACCGCTCCCAGTCCCCACACCTGCCAACTGGCCGTCTCGGACAGTGGCTGTGGCCTGGGAATGGGAAAGGAGAGTGAGGTCGACGGCTCAGCGGATTTTCCTCACTATAAACAGTCCGACGGGTTTGAAGCTATCATGGTGCTCTAAAAGCCGTGACACGCCTAGGGGCGACTCTGGTCGCATCATACCCTTTTGTCGTTGGTTAAAATCCAGGTCATTTGCTGTGTGAACCAGGGGGTGTGGTGGAACGCCAAGGTGCGTGCTCGAACACGCCATAAACCTGCGCCATCCCCCGCCTCCGGTCTTCTTGACTCTGTCTTGACACCGGGTCCAGGTGGGAGTGGAGGAGAAGGAGTGCGGTAGATGCTGTGAAAGTCCAGTACCATTATGACCTAATTCACACACAAGTCAATGTCCCTGTTCTCACCTTGCTGTGGAACGTACGGTGGACATCGTCGGAAACGACAATCGAACTGTCGTGTGTTCCTAAAAGGGGCCGCGCGGTAGATGCGCTGGACTAACACGGGAGCTAGATCGGATTCCGTCAGGCGTTCTTAGGAATGCGCGCCCATAACAAATGTCAACATTGAGGTGTGGGGACACGGCTAGGCGCAGAATCGCCCCGTGACAAACAGCCCCCTCTCTGTTTATCTGTGTGTGGTAGAAAGGCAGACGACGAATGCAATAAACAAGTTTACGAGTTGTAGTGAAAAGTAAAGGGGAGTGAGAGATTCGAGGACAAAGTAACACCACGGTGCCGGAAAAATAATACTCCTTCGTGAAGGTAGTCCAAGGATTCAGGAATAGGCGAGAGTTACCGTCGAACAACACACTGGACAGGCCTCTTATCGTGAAGCAGAAGACCATTTGCCAACTATCACTCGGAGACATGACCAAGGCCATCCTCAAGAAACTTTAAATGAGTCTGACTTTTATATGGTTGCCAGCGACCATATCATCGGCATAGTTGACGTATAGGCCGCACTTTCTACCACACGATTCCCTTGCCCTCGAGCGTCCTAGACGGGGAAGCGCCTGCAACGGGCCTGTTGTGTCCGGTTTGCAGAGTGCCAGCATTCAACCAGTCAGAGCCGAAAGTGTACAAACGGCGCAGACATGTAGTCGCAGGATGTAGTCCACTGCCTTGTGTCCGCTGTCTAGTTTATGAGTTGGGGGAGGGGGGGGGTGATTAACCGTCAATCTAGCCCTTGCTCTAGCTTGTTAATACGCGTTTCGGCGGTCACGACGGCGTTGTGTGTTGATTGGTTAACCTGACCTTATAAGGAATTCTCGCGTCTCAGTCAGATCTTATCCCGGCACCCTCACGGGGCATCACCGGGCTTAATCCAAAGGGGGAGGGTGGACCGTCAATCGTGTGCTCTCGCTCCCTCCTCATCCCGTGCCTTAGAGGACGAGGCCACAGCCAATAGGACGGAGCCGATGCACTTCGTGTCATGCCCACTTCGCAAGCGCTAGTGCAAACCCTTCACGCATTCATCAAGGGCATAGTCGGCATCGGACCGACGTTACACTATCCAGCCCTTGTTTGGGTTCACCGACAGTTTACCCGCACGGAAAGTGATGCCTTGGTGGCAGGTGTTGGTTGGAGACACGTTTCGATGGAGAACATTTTGGCCGGTAGAGACCCATTACTGAGAACTTTTAGAGCGGCCGGCCCCATTGTCACCTTCCTGTAGACTAGTTTTGACGGCGATCCTGTTTCGAGAAAGTTTTCTCCTTTTTTCTCCTAAAATTTGGATGAATTTGACTCGTATTTTGGGAAAAGCCTTTTGCTGTTTTCCCCGAGTTAAGTGAACGCTAGTAAACGTGCATCGGACATATTCCAATTACAGCATGTGGGCTAACTCATGAAATGTCAACCGAAGTTCCGAAATGCGCTTTCGTTTCAAAAAAACTATTTAAGTAGGGTTGTAAAAGTAATCCTCGTGCAGCATAATACTATAACAATTCACCTACCTCAGGATGTCGGCTTTCGAACGAACCTCTTTCCGGCCACATGCGAAAACTATAATCTGTAAAAAATGACTACATACGTAGCATGCATTTTTCTCATCGATTTTTGACGCCCTTAAATACCCAATTATATCTCATGGAAAACATGCACAAAAATACTCGTTCTTTCGCTCATTCGGTAGAAAATTACGTTTTCTTCCAATTTTATGCTCGAAGAAAGTGTATAATTCGGTTTTCAAAAACTTTTCCAATTCCCGAATACTTTTGAACCCGCTCTACCGCTACACTCGAATTCAGGGTTTCCAAACTACTAGCCGTATATTTTCCGCGCATGGAAAACCGTATATTTATCTACAGTATCACGAGGAGACTACATGGGGTTTAAAAAATTTAGCAGTAGATTGGAGCCGTATTGTTAACTTTACAAGCCACATTGCTAAATGCAGAGACAGGACTTTTTATGATCGGCCATTTCACGGTATTAAAAAATCTCACGTTAAAAAGACGTCATTTTCAACCGAATGAGTAAAAGAGTTAGTACTTTTATGAATGTTTCCCATGAGATATAATTGGGTATTTAAGGGCATCGAAAATCGATGAGAAAAATGCATGCTACGTATGTAGTCATTTTCTACAGATTATAGTTTTTGCATGTGGCCGGAAAGAAGTTCGTTCGAAAGCCGGCATCCTGAGGCAACTGAATTGTTATAGAATTATGCTGCGCGATGATGACTTTTACAACCCGACTTAATTAATCTTTTCGAAACGTAAGCGCATTTCGGGATTTCGGTCGATATTTCATGAGTTAGCCCACCTACTGTAGGTGTGATACGCCGTTCGTTCTTGCCGCTGGGCAAAAATCCGCCTCCCTAGTGAACGTAGACCGTAGTCTGTCATAATTCGCATTAAGCCGTGGCCCGACGGACGACGTTTGGGCGGGGGAGCTTGCTGAGGCGGCCATTTCTTTTAGTGTTCCGGATGTGATGATAGACGTCTCCATCCCTCCCTGTGCGTGTAAATCTGAGGCACCCCAACCCCTAAAAAGGGTCCCGTGGTAGATGCACTGGACCAACACGGGAGCTAGCTTGAAGTCCGATAGAAGTTTTCAGGAACTTTCACCCATAACAGATGCGAACATTTGGGGTGTGGTGGAACGTCCAGTTGCAGACTCAAGGCCGCACCAACTGGGTGCTGAGTCAGCTCTCTCTTTTCTTGGTGTATAAAATCCTGGTCAGTGTACGCTGTGGAGCATGGATGTAGTGGTACGCCCAGGTGCGCGTTTACGCCATGCCGGCCACCTGCGCCCTCTTCTGCCTTCGGTCTCATTGGTTCTGTCCTGACATCCGATCCACGTAGGGGAGGTGAAGGAGGAGAGTGCGCGGTAGATGCTGTGCAAGTCTGCTATCACTTTAAACAAATTCACGCGCAGGTCACCGTCCCTGCTCTCACTCTGTTGTGGAGCAAATAGTGGACATCGCCAGCAACGACGGTCTGACTGTTGGGTGGAGTCTTAGGTACTGGAAAGCGGCGATCCTAATGTCGTAGTACCGCTATCGTTTATGACTCATTCCTTTTGGTTAACCAACTTGACAGGTCGATAACGAATTGGGCCCGAAGATAGTGCAGCCGCATACTCCACGACTACCTCTTCATCTAACACAAGGCCTAGACCATTTTCATCCAGTCTTAGCTGAAGGTCGATACACCACCTGTGGACAGGTTAGGTAGCCCACAAGGCACTTCGCCATGTGCTGCAAGCCGCTCTCTTCGGTTGTTCTGTCAGTCCTTTGCCTAAACGTGAAAGCGATAGAAGGCATACTGGCTGGCAGTGTATTTTTTTTATCCAAGCTATGTTTAAATCCAGTCTTATCAACAATCCTACTTGATTCAGCCGACCACTTTTTGCGTCTAGTCAGGTGTTTTTACCTTAATGTCAGGGGCCGGGTCAGCGAATTCGCCGATTTAGGGTGTGAGTGTTCGGCGTCCATGATATCATGGCCGGCACCATCAAGACAACGCGTTTCCGGTTCCAAACATGTCATTTTTGAAGAAGAAGAAGAAGAAGAAGAAGAAGAAGAAGAAGAAGAAGAAGAGGGGTTGAGCACCGGAACATCTTGTTTATTGTCCTGAGCTCTCGGACTCGTGCAGGAGCCTGAAGTGCAATCTGGAGTAGTATATCTCATTCCGTGTCAAAACTGTCCTTGCAACTACACAAGCCAGACTGGACGCATGCTCTGATCGCGCATACACGGACATAAGTTGGCTGTGCTACGAGGTGACGCATTATCACAAGTGGCTGCCCAAACCTATGAAATGGGTCACGAGTTTGACTTCGCAGCCACCAAAATAGTCGCCCACGCCGGAAACAAAACAGGCCGAGAACTGATTGAAGCCTGCGTCTCGGATGAGAACTCGGTCAATCGATTTACCGATCTGGCGCCGGCGTGCAGAGCCATGCGCAGCCATCTCCAGTCTCGCGCCGTCGGTCGATGACTGGCCTGAATGCCCTACAACTGTCGCTTGTTCTGTTGCTGCTACTACCTCTGACGATCGACTCCTGCATGCGTCCGAAAACTCAGGACAATGAACACAATGTTCCGTTGCTCGAGCCGCCTTCGTCTTCACTTATGCATACACCTGGAACTCGAAATTTCCTCTTCATTCATGTCATTTATGCTCTATGGTCTTTGCTTCCTGTCTAAAAACAAAACTGAGGGTCCGCCTTGTCGGCGAGGGAGGTCGAGTGCCGCTCTTGCCAAAGCATCTAGTATGATACGAAAGTTAAGGAGACAAGACTGATAAACATCTTTCCCTTCCTGTTCAGTTAAATTTATTTCGACCCAAATGGGAAAAACACGGCAAATCACCGGGGACTCGATAGCAAGGGGAAGACTTAGACACAGCCAACCCTCCAGCCACCTGAACCACGAAGTCCCACCGGGAGCTGCGAGTTTAAACATCTGCTGGCTTCTAGGTGGCTTACTCAGGAAATCCTGCTTTGACAGCCAGCTTACGGTATCAGAATTTGTGGATTCCATACGTTACAGTAGGCTAGGCGGGTAACTTAACCCAAATGTGATTGAACTCACGGCTGCCGGTGGAGGTTCATAGCTCTGGTGGCTAGAGCGTTGGCTATATTCTAGTCCTCCCTTTGCTGTCTTGGGCTCGAATGCCTCCGAGATCGCCGTGTTCTTTACAGTTGAGTCAAAATAAATCGCTGAAAATCTGCCGAAATACCTCTTCATTTAAAATCAGGATGGTTCTGAGCGTCAGCTAGTAGGTTTTTATCGTGGGATCGGACTAGATTGTTGACCTGACACATAAAGACCTGTCCCTGCGCCCCCTTCTCGTTGTAATAACGCATCAGTTAAGTGTCAACACCTCAACCTCGACTGTTCAGCTACTTTCCCCGGTCGTATGTGAAATTTTTTCTTATTTTATGCACTCCCATGACAAGCAAGTTTTTTGAGTGCAGAAAAATGTCCAGCGTACACTTCTATTGTATGAATGTGGGAAGGAGTCGAGGTGTGGGTAGCCGGCAACTGCGGCCAGACCAGAAATGGTCCCGCTTGCCTATAGAGCACACGGCGACGGTGTAGAGAAGGACCCCAATAAACGAAAAGTAAATTTCACAAAATAACGGATTTTGGATTAAGATGTGAGGTCGTGGGAAGTAATCGTGTGATTTCTGCAACAGCTGGCAAATGTATGCCAAGATAAAACCCCCTATGACACGATCCACAGTCTACTGACAGTTACGTCGGGTCCTTCTCTATACCCTTGCCGAGCATACATTGCCTTTAACCGGGTAACCGTCCGGAGGTTAAGGGGAAAACAGGCAGTTCTTATTCGGTCATTCGACCGCATGTAATTTGTCATTGTTTCGGCAATAGCCGACAGATTATGGTTTCTGTGTAGAGCAATAAATTTTGAAAGCCTTTTGTCTCCGGTTCGACATCTAACTCTCGTCCGGCCCCCTCCTTGAATCAGGGTTTGACAATCTGAAGATAATGAAGTAAACCGGAACTCCGGTATTCTTATCATTCTTCCTCTCTCCCTTTCCCTGTACATATATATAGCTGTGTAGTGCAGACGATTTTGCCCATTTTATTACTCTATCCTTCCTGCATTTCAAGGTGCCTACGGCGAGCACACGGAGTCAATCGGCGGCGTGTTCGATCTGAGCAATGAGCGCCGTCTGGGTCTGACTGAACTCGAAGCCGCCACTGAAATGGCCGATGGCGTGAAGAAGATACTCGAATTGGAGGCCTCCCTCTAGGACCTCCATCTGCATCTTAGCTACCTCTTACAGTGCTTTTAACACTGTTCCTCACAAGTCTTTTTTTAGCCGTCTTTCCCTTGCATAATCACGCTGTGTGCTGCTGTATCTGCCGGTTCGGGGGTTTTTTTAGGAGTCAGACAATAAAAATTTGACATCTGGGCCTCACTTCATGTGGTCGCCTGACCAAGTCCTATCAGCAAATGAACTCAGCTGCTTTCTCGAACTGATATGTATTCGCACATATTTAAAGTCAACCTTGAGTCAGAAATAAGCTCTTTTGAAATACTCACCCCCCACAAAAGCCAAATCATAATTTATTTAAAGCATGGCCTTGGAGGACACCAGCATCCCACGAAAAATCGACCAGACAGAAGGACTGCAGGTTTTCGTCCTACCTAAAGCAATTTTTTCAATTATGGCATAAAATTGATGAAATTTACTCGATGGCTGTGATAATGAATTTTTCTATCATCGATGATGACGATGGCAGATCTGAGAATGCCTATGCAGGTCATGGTATGAACAGTAGTATGGAAAATGGTGTACTTTTGGGCGATTTCGCGTTCCTACGAATGCCGCGTGTTTTCAACTTGTTCCCTGGACGTTGAGCGTTCGCCTGAAGAGGCTGTACATATATTCAAACTCAGAGGAAGGGAACCAGAGTGTGGACGCTAACTGGGTTTAGCAAATCCCCAACGTATTCGCCCCGAGAAAAGTCGCCGGTACCGTGAAATGGAGTCCACAGGGCACGCTGAGGAACCCACAGTTGTGTCATTCAGCGACAGAATATGGGCGAAACACGCGTGTCTGGGCTTTTAGCTAGCCCCTATCCTGTCAAGTATGATGTGTCGTGCAACTTATGCACATACTACTAGCTGCCCGTTGGCAGTTTATGAATATTGCGCGGTTAGTCCCCTGTGGCTGATGGGTTTCGGTCCGAATATTCGGTAACAATCGGGAGATGGCACCCAAAAAATCCGCCTAACCAAAGCAGCCTGTCTTACGGGACAGGTGGTACTAGGGGTTTTATGGGTGGAAGCTGGTCGGGATGAACGATACTAGCCGACGGAAAGCCCTATTTGAACAGGTGTATGATCGAAGTTGGCCCGCTCTCCGTTACGTTATTACAAAATGGGTCGCCAAAGACAGTATAGTGGTAACGGACGACCGGAAGGTGTTTAATCGTCCTCTCTCAGAAGGTTATCTGCATTTCTCTGTTAACCACTTAAAGAACTTCAAAGACCCTGCCCCCGGACGGCACAGCAATTCCATTGAGGCATATTGGAGCGGCACACTGGTACACAACCTGTCGTCAAAGGAACTGACGAAGGAGCAAGCACAGGTTTTACGGCACGAAGCCTCATTCAACACAGCTGACGCCAAACCTGTCAACAGCAGTGGAATCGGTCATTAATCAGACGGAACCGACGGAGGAGACGAAGAACCTTATCCGACACCAAGTTACGTCCCTCCTTATGACTCACAAGCCGCGCGAAACACTCACAAAGGTCGAACGCGATGCACTAAGAGAACTCAAGGCCGACAAGGACATCGTCATTGTGCCCGCGGACAAGGGGCGTTCCACTATCGTACTGGACAGAACAGACTACCTTCAGAAGGCCAAAAACCTACTGGAGGATCGCCAGTTCTATGTCCCATGTGAAACCAACCCCATGAAAACGCTGACACGCGAAATAAATGCAACACTGTTGGCACTGGAGAACTCGGGTGCAATAACAGCGACCGACCGACGCATGACGAGAGCCCAAGAAACGACTTTGGCCCGATTCTATGGTCTCCCAAAGGTGCACAAGGAGGGCGCTCCTCTCCGGCCCATTGTTTCGCTCAAAGGCACTCCAACGTACGGACTGGCAAGATGGCTGTTTCGGCGCCTCAAATTTCTGACCGCTGATTCGGACACCACGGTCTGTTCGTCAACGCAATTCCCGGAGAAGCTTAAAGGAGTAAGTCTCTTGCCCAATGAGGTCATGGTATCTTTTGATGTCACGTCCCTCTTTACTTCTATCCCCCAGGATCTGGCAATCGAGACCGTCCAGCTACTCCTACGAAACAAATACGATGAAACGGAGAATCGTCTCGGACATGCGCAAGTCCTTCAGCTCCTAAAGTTCTGTCTCATGACGTACTTCACGTTTGACGGAACAATCTACGAGCAAGTGAAGGGAACACCAATGGGCTCGCCGATTTCGGGATTCATCGCCGAGGCGGTGCTACAGCGGTTGGAGTCACTGGTCTTCCAACACCACAGACCGAAATTCTGGGCTCGGTATGTGGACGATACCTTCGTCGTCATCGAACGGGATCAGGTGCTAACGTTCAAAGAACGTCTCAACAGCGTCTTCCCGGACATACAATTCACGATGGAGGAGGAAGAGAATAATCAGCTGGCATTCCTTGATGTCCTCGTCTGTCGCAAAGATTGTGGTGGCCTAAAGACCGAGGTGTTCAGAAAAGCAACGAACACGACGCAAATTCTGAACTTCAACAGTAACCACCCAATCTGCCACAAACGCAGTTGCGTAAGAACGCTATTTCGGCGTGTTGAGACGCACTGCAGTGAACCGGAAGACAAAGTTGCCGAATCCCAATATCTTCGACGGGTTTTCCGAGAAAACGGTTACCCGCGCAACTTCGTCAACCAGTGCCTGCGCAAACGAGACGAGCGACAAAATCGCGCCGACCCCAAATTCTGGCGAGCGATCACGTACATCAAGAACGTCTCCGAGGCCATTAGCCGCCTTCTTGCACCACTTGGGGTTGGAGTTGCGCACAGACCGGAGGCCACCATGAGGCGTCAAGTGATGAGACCAAAAGACCTACTGCCACGGCAAGAAACATCTGGAGTCGTTTACCGGATCTGGTGCAGTTGCGGACAAAGCAACTACGTCGGAGAAACTGGAAGACTGCTCCGGACGCGAATCGCCGAACACGTGGCAGCTGTACGGAGAAATGACGCCAACTCTCAGGTCGCGGCCCATTCGATGAGACCCGGCCACACATTCAAGTTCGATGAGGCCGAAATTCTCGCGAGAGGGGATAATCGCGTGAGCCGCGAGTTGCTTGAGTCATGGTTCACGGGACCTCAGTCTATCAACAAGTGCAACGACATCCCCACTCCATATTCTGTCCTGAGGCATAGACTGGCCAAAGCAATTGACCACTCGAGGAGCGCGCAAGCACGTGAGCCAGATGGCCGAGCAATCATCACGCCAGCATCCAACACGGGTGATGAGATGTCAGCAATTAACAACTTGCATGCCGGCCATCAAGCAATTAGCGCACCAGCGGGCAACAATCCTTGATGAAGGGAGCACGGTTAATTGCTGTAGGTATGCGGTAGCATGGCGACCGCATCCTATAAATACTGCGACTTCCTGTACACTAGCCACCCTTTTCTGCAACTGTCGTTGATGATGGATTCAAGAGAGAATCCGAAACGTCAGGCGAATAAAGCCATTGTTCCAGCGATCGCTTCTTCTTCTGATACTGGAGTAGACTGAAAAGGAAAGTGCATGAGGGAGGCCCTGTATGTGGTCAAGCTGTGTGGGCTCACATAGGCGAAGTACAGTATCGTCTTTGGTTTGGCCTCAATACCATGGCTTTGACAGATGCCTGGGAACTGTTCCTGTCCCACGTTTTGCAGACTTATCCTATTTAAAGGTGATTTTGTTTTGTAATAAACTGCCATAATGCGAATGTATCCCGTATATTCAGGTGTACGTTTGTAAAGATGGGGAAGGTTGGGTTACAGCGACCATCGTCCATGTAACCTCCTGCGATGTTCGTTCGACCAGCCCATATTAAGTCGTCGCGGAAAGTCCAAGTTGTGCGTGAAAGTAGGCCTGCAACCGCTGATATAGCCTGAAGGCGTTTGAGTCTACTGATAAAGGTATTATTTCTAGGTAGCGAATTTTTTGGGTGCCATCTCCCGATTGTTACCGAATGTTCATATCGAATTTCACCCTGAGTTTATGAGCCACGAATAGGCTGATTTACTCCAAGTTAACGATTAATATCTGGAGGAATTAAACATTTGCAATGACGTGACATGTGATTTTCATCTCCAGTCAGTCCGGCAATGCCAGCGCATCACAGCAGAAAGGTAGTCATCTAAAAATGTACAGTGAGCTGTTACCAAGCGTCAGATGGGAAAACGGAGAAATTTCTCACGTGGGATATGTCTCTACCTTTTTCCTTACTCCGGAAAGAAGGTAAATAATGATTCATCTGAAGCACTAAAATCGTCCTCAAGTTTCAGACAACCGAGTCTTACAAATTAAACTTTGACCGTCGATTCCGACGAGGTCCGCTGTCTGTCAGTGTGGGCGTAGGGACTGTGAATTGCGAGTAATAGTATACTTGAGTAGGACCCGTCGCACTCTCTCATCTTCTCCCACCTATACCCGCTGTCATGACGGCGTTCACCTGTCTTTCTTACGAAACTCACTCGTTCCGTTGTGCCTTACGGACTCTCTCTCTCGAGCCCAACCAGCAGCCGCACAGCGGCGCATGATACAGGCACAACGGAACAAGTGAGTTCCGTAAGAGCGATCGGCGAGCGCCTCCTACCATTGTATATCCCCGATCTAAAACCGACGGGACAACGAGCCCGTGGCCCAGTGGATAGAGGAGTGGACTCCTAACTAACGGGTCGCGAGTTCGAGCCTCGGATGTTGCCCACTTCGGGGTTGGGTATGACTGGCTGACGACGACTAATAAGCCAGAAATGGCCATTCCAGTCTGCCTTGTCTATGTCGGTAATAACATACTGGAGTCAAGAATATCCGGAAGCGGAAGAAGGCGGAAGTGGCTAGCGCTGCGGGAACCCGCACCTCAACGCGTTCCACCACACCGGCTGGAGTCACACGGAGTGGCAGTGCCGTAGAGGTCACATTTAGATTGACTCTCAGTCCACCAGCTCTCCACCTCATACAAACACACTCCGGGCTGACCGCAAGGCCCCAGTAGAGACGTCAGTTAGCAGGTTTCAAAGTCACAACGTTTGACGCATCGTGATGGGCGCAAGCGAGTCGGATTGTGTCTGGTGATAAATGAGCACTGAGAGTCGACCTCTCGCTCTCCCTATTCTTTCCAGTGCATCTACCGACTGTCCTAGCCAGTCAAATAAACGGTGGTGGGGTTGGGAGGGTGGCTAACAGAACCGAAACAACCCGTCTGTGCGTGCCACACACGTTACCGGGCCTTTCGCACATAAAACACCAGAACTTCACGCAAAGTGGATGAACGATGCCACCAACTCGAGAATCACCTAGATTCCTCGCGCATTTTGATGATGATGGTGGTGGTGTTGTTGTTGTTGTTATTGTTGGTGATGATGATGATGATGATGATGATGATGATGATGATGATGATGATGATGATGATGATGATGATGATGATGATGATGATGATGATGATGATGATGATGATGATGATGATGATGATGATGATGATGATGATGATGATGATGATGATGATGATGATGATGGAGACGACGATGACAACAATTATTGTTATTGGTACGGCCGTGATCATGCCTAATCTAGCCGGCATCGATGATGTCCAGAACTGCACCTCTCCATGCGTGGCGGTCCGTGGCAGTAGACCTCGACAGTTCAAATCATTCGCCTTGCCAACGAAAGAGATCGAATATCCAAAGTTCAAGGACTGAGTTGAGTCAGGTTTTGAATTGATCCCCACTTCGGCGCCTCCAATTGGGTAGTGGTGCCGGATCAAGTGCAGTAACGTTGAGCTTCTGAAGTGGACGACGAAGAAATGCCCAAACCACCTCAGACATCTTTCTTGGATGGCCTAGGCTATCATTGTGTCGTTGATGCGGCGAGTGCGGACTGTCTCATTTGAGACGAAATCGGTGTACCTCACTTGAAGGATGGCCCTCAAACATTGGTGGTCAAATATCTCCAGTTGTCGCTCGTCCTCCACGCGCACAGCCCAGCGTTTACACCCATAGAGAAAGATGGACCGGACAGATTCGTGGTACACGCGAATCTTAGTGACGATGGAGATGTCGCGTCGGACAGACCGGACGGACCCACGTACACGCGGATTTGCGTTGTGATTGAGATGTCGCGTCTAGTCCATAGGCAAATTGGGAAGCAGGCAGCGTGAATTCAGGAAACTACGTCGTCCTTACACTGTTCATTCGGCAGCAGCCTCGCTCCGAGGTACTTGATACTGTCTACTTCTCCAAGTTAACAGCCATCAATCCCGAGAGGTGCCTTCTCTTGGTCAGGAATACAGCTTGGCAACACTTTGGTCTTCCCAGCGTTTATGGATAAACCGACCGATTTAGCGACCTCGTTCACCCGTGACACCATAGGCTGCAGATTACCAAAACTTGAAGCTAATTAGGCGATATTATCGGCATAGTCGAGATCAGTCAGCTGGTGTCCGGGTGCACACTCAACAGCGTATTTGAACGGAATGGGCGAGAGGATAAAACCCTGTCGAACGTCAGACCGAATAACGAACGGTTAGGAAAGATCGTTTTGGACCAGAACTCGCGCGGTGGAGGAGCGATAATAGGCCTTGATCATGACGATGATTCCTGGCGGTAGGCCATCTAGTGCCATTATCCGCCACAGAGACTCACGATGGACGGACTCGAACGCGGCAGCAAAGTCAACAATGCAGCCGGCTGTCAGTTGCTGGTAGCTATGGCGAAATTCCAGAATGTGCCTTAGTGTGAGTACCTGATCCGCACATCTAAGTCCAGCATGAAATACGGCTTCGTCTGTCCTCATCCTAGAGTCTAACACAGCCTAGGCTCGTCTAATAGGGAAATTACCGAAGATCTCCACAACAACTTCGATGAGGCTTATTAGTTCTCTCACCTTGTCTTATCGTCCTTCTTGGGGATAGGTACAAGGATGCCTGAGCCCCAGTCATCAGGAGCAACCACGTCCCTCCACGCCTGTTCAGTCAACTCATAGAGCCAGTGTGCCAGAGCGTCCGGCACAAGAATTGTAGATTTCAGCGAGTATACCGTCCTTTTCGAGTGCCTTGTTGATGCTTAGCCTTCGTATGGCATTGTCGACTTCTGTTTCGGAAGGGTGGTCGCATGGCACCGCATAGGTTGGAGAGGGAAGAAACGTCATTGGGGAGGAGAACAAGGGTGTGATGAATTGTCCATCGAAGTTGAGATGGTGCTCAAAGTGCTCACCCCAGTGCTCGACCTCTGTCGAACTGTCAGCAATAAAGCCACCATTCACGTAGCGAACAGAGTCACTCAGTGCAGAGGGCTCACCATTAACTTGGTGGACAAGTTGAGAGTTCTCGAGTGTCACGGACGTTCAAGACCTGTTACATGCAGGTCGTGATTTCACCGCAATATTTCTTCCGGTCGTCCCTGGCCGACTTTGCCGTCAGGTTCCGGAGTTGGCGGAAGCAGTCATTGTTACGGGACCTGACTCGAGCCGTCTTAGCCGACAACTGCAGGGTTCTTTTGCTGATCCAGTCACTGCAGCGTCGCTGGGCCTATTCAATAATTTTCTCAGATGCTCCACAGACTGATGTTTTCAGTGACTACCATTGGTCTTCTTCGTCAGCTGGGGTCGTAAAACAAAACGGGGATTCTTCGCTCAGGACATCGGCAGTGCTAGTTTGCTGGATTTTTTACCATCGAAACGTCTAGCACACCACATTTTGGGCGTGGATGAGAGGTGAACTTTCGAGCGTATACGAACGCGGACATGGTCCAGCCCATGGGCGTTACCACTCTCGGCATCACGTATCGACCTACTATTATGAATCCAGATGTGCAACCTCGAGCTGATTAGAATGTAATCAATCTGACTGTCCGTAATACCGTCGCTTGAATACCAGATCAGCAGATGTTTGTTGCGATGCTGGAAGCACGTGTTGGTGACAAGCAGTCGATTCTGATCAGCAAAGTTCCACAATATCTCGCACTGTCACAGCGAGAACCCAGCCCAAAGCGGCCAATAAGATAACTGTATGTGCAGTCATCAGGTCCAGTCCGATAATTTTCAACCCCCGGCAACAATCAGCAGATCACGCCGAAGGGGACTCTCAACCAACGCCTGCAGCTGCGAGTAAGGCGCCTTTTCGTCGCGCTGCTCGACAGCTGAAGTTTGTGCGTACACAGAGACGAGCTAGATGTTCGTAAAGTGACCCTTCAATCGCACGTCGGCCATCCGGTCACTGAATAGTTTCCGAGCTAGTAAAGCAGACTTCACTTGTCGCGAGAGTGCGATCACCACACCGTCTCTGCCAGCGAGGTCACGTGGTACAGGGTGACGCGTGAGTTGGCTCCCGGAATTTTTATTTCCCATAGATCCTGAGTCACGAAGTCGGGCTTCAGACAGGTAGCAAGCATCCACCTTGTACTGATTAAGGCTGCGCGTGCTCAGACTTCGGGTACCAGGGTCCAGGAAAGTTCGCACATTCCAGCTTTCAGTACCAAGAGTCCGTTCTTGATTGAGTAGTCCAGTTCGTCCGCACCACTGGGCTAGGGCTGCTGAGCGCGTCGGTTTCCACGGCCGCCGTAGCATGGGCCATAGAACTGTATTCAGACGCATTTTCCTGAGGTTTCTTGAGAATTCTGATTACGTGCGGATCTCCAACAGCCGCTCAGATTGTTTCTTTGAGGTTGTCACCTCTTTGACTCAATGCAGCGGTGGCAAGCAAACTTATTTAATGGTGGTTCACGGTCGTCATGTCATCGGGCTCTGCGGATTTTTTTGCAAACGTTTCAGCGTGCCAGACCTCAACCCTCGACACCCTGGTAGCACTGTCGCTGCTGGTCCGCGACTGCTTATTCGTCAGACCTGAGTCTGCTTATCTTGGAACTAACGTTCATTGACGGACGTTCCACTATCCGCAATCAGTGGACGCGCGGGATAGCCAGCAGCTAGGCTGACGGCCAACCCGCCTTCCCAGTAAGTGATTCTGAATAAATAAACTGTTTCATCTATCACCTATGTAATTACTATCACTGAAATTGCGCATTTTCGAAGTGCCCTGGAATGATCTACAGCAGTGTGTTAATCCAGCTCATATAATTAGCGTCGAGTTGGAGTTAAGTGCCTGAGATTCACGTCCAGAAATGATATGGAGCGTCCTCATCCCAATGAGAAACATTAATCACGTTAACCAACGTTCTTCCGATAATCCAATGCGGTGGTGGGAAAATGCACCTTACTGAGAGTTCTACCAAAGAAACAAACGAATCGTCTGATTTTTGGGTATGCGTAAAATTTCGGTGTAAGGTTGGAACATGAGAGGCGTTTAGTGTCAGGACTAGGTTACAATGCCGGATCCGGTGTCCATATTCGTTTTGTGTAGTTTTTTTGTCTTAACAATTTGCTCTGCATTTTAACTTATTTCAGAAGACTGAACTGAACCCGAAAACATCCAACTTAAATACTTAAAAATACCTGGCAATAGAAGTATTATCGAATTGGGGTGGTAATCGCGGTGTAGACATCAAATCCGTCCCAAGGCACCGAACGTGTCGTGCAACAATGCATACCACAAGACCTCTTAGAGGATATAGACCCTGATGATTATTTACAAAAGGGCTTCTGTTGTCTTGTTTGCTGATTTGTTTGCACGAACAGCCCTTATGAATGTTTGCAGACTTGGTTTACTTTCGGGCTTCCAGAATTACTGCATTTCTCAAGAAAACTGTCATCTCTAACCAAATTCATATTACCTTCAACACTTACTTAGTGTTGTCATGTGACTGAAGGCCATTCACTATTGATGGAAGCTTTGGTCGATACATTTGCGCCGGTTTCCGACTGAATAGAGAGAATTCGCAAATTTACACATCTGGCATATCATATGTATGTACGTCTTAGACGTTAATTTATTTCTTCGCATACAGTGAGTGACCGATCGCATGAAATGTTGGCTGAAATTCGGAAATGCGTTTTCGATCAGGAAGGATTAGTTGGTCGCGATTGTAATACTGATTATCTTGCGGCATAATCTTGTAACATTTCGGACTCGGCAGGATGTTTGCTTTTGAATATACTGCTTTCCAATCTTCTGTAGAAACCCTACTCGGCAAAAAATGACTACTCAAGTAGCATGCATTTTTACCATTGATTTTTGATGGTCTTGCAAATTCAAATATATCTTATAGAAAGCATAAACAAAAATATGCTTTCTTTTAGTCAGTTAATAGTGCGTCATGTCTTCTTTATATTTTATACTCAATAAAAGAGTATAGGTAGGTTTTAAAACAGTTTCTAATTACGAGATTTTTTAAGACCTCGCAATGTCCACTCACATAGCATCGTACCTCACCGTTTACTACAGCTCCTCATAAAATGTACAACATAATCCGCATCCATTGTAAAATTTTATGGACTCTGTATGATGTCTTTTTAATGGCATTTAAAAATATGTTATTTTCTTTATGCGGAACGCATGCACCTTGTACACTGAAATCACTCAGCGCTAATGCAACGATTGATCAGGCTCCAAATTATTCGGCAATCAGAGAACCTTTTAAAAGCCTAATTATACTTTTTCATTGAGTATAAAATATA